AGACTTTAGTGATTAATGTCTTAGACCATGTTAACGATAACGATAATTTTGTAAAATTGAAGTGCTGGAGGAAATATTCGAAGCAAGCTGTTTCAAACCTTGTTGAGAGAAGCCTGGATTTTCCATTCGCGGCCGGTAACTTAGATGAATCTACAGCTGTTCTTAATAACGCTTTGAAAACGTGTACCAATCAACTAGTTGAGCAAAAGTTTGTTTCATTGAAAAACTCGAACAGCTGGTACAATTTGGATCTTTTGCGTCTTAAACGGAAAAGGGACAAATGGTACAAAAAGTTTTGTAGATCAAATAATGACAATTATTGGAATAGGTACACAATCGCGACGTAATAAGTATTCACAATCGATAAAGAAAACTCGTTGTGAATATGTTCAAAGGAAGATTGATCAGCATCAAAACAACAGCAAAGACTTATGGAAAATTTTGAAATCTTTATTAAAACCTAGTAATTGCAAACCGCGGTCCATAACTTTTAATGGCACATTAGGACACTCAGAACAAGTAATTGCAGCTAAGTTTAATGATTATTTAGTAGATAGCGTTTCATTGGTTAATCAATCTATTGAATTGGTCGATGAACCTGACGAAATAATACAGCCAGTTAATAGTAGTTGTAGATTTGAAGTTTTTCACCCAATCACATTAGATGAACTTAGAGTTATTTGTTTTTCATTAGGAAAATCGGCTGGAATAGATAATGTTAATGCTAGAGTTATTCAAGATTGCTTTCATGTCATTGGCCACATCTTTCTGGACCTTATTAATAAATCATTGCAGAATGGACATGTACCACAAATTTGGAAGGAATCCTTAGTGGTTCCTATTCAAAAAGTTTCTGGAACGATTAAAGCCGAAGAGTTTCGTCCCATCAACATGTTGCACACATTAGAGAAAATCTTAGAACTTGTTGTTAAAGGCCAGCTGTTGGAGTATTTGAATAGCAACTCTTTGTTGATACCAGAAAAATCGGGATATCGGGAAGGTCATTCTTGTGAAACCGCGTTGAATTTGGTGTTAGCAAAGTGGAAAGACAACTTGGAGCGTAAAGATACGATTTTTGCTGTTTTTTTGGATCTTAAACACGCTTTTGAAACAATTTCTAGGCCCTTATTGTTAAGATCAATCAAGCGCTTTGGAATTACGAGTACTGTATATAAATGGTTTGAAAGCTATTTGTCTGACAGAACTCAACGGACTGTTTTTAATGATTCTGTTTTCAGTCCCGTGGGGAATAACCTTGTAGTGCCCCAGGGAAGTGTATTAGAGCCCCTGTTATTTACTATGTATATTAATGACATGCGACGTGTTTTACGATTTTGTGACATTAATCTTTTTGCAGATGATACTGTGTTATTCATTGCAGCTAAGGATTGAGATGATACCGTTTTACACTTGAATGAAGATTTGCGTTCTCTAAGTAGATGGTTGAAGTATAAGCAGTTAAAATTGAATACAAGTAAAACTAAATTTATGGTAATTTCGCGGAATCGATTAAATGAGAACGTCTCTGTTGTAATTGATGATGAGACTATTGATCGCGTTCAGGAGATTAAATATCTTGGCGTGATTATTGATGACAAACTTAAGTTCAACTCTCACATTGACAATGTCATCAAGAAAATTGCCAAGAAGTATGGAATTCTATGTCGACTGAAAAACAATTTAACTATTGCCAGTAATTACAGCTATACAAATCAATCATCTCTCCTCATCTAGACTTTTGCACTTCCATTTTTTTTCTGGCAAATGAAATACAAATATCGAGATTACATCGCTTGCAGAATAAAATAATGCGTTTGATTTTGAGATGTAATAGATTCACTTCCTCAACTTTGATGCTAGACGCCTTACAATGGTTGTCGGTGAAGCAAAGGATTGTATATTTGACTGTGGTGTTCATTTTTAAAGTAGTTAACGGTTTGCTGCCTCGATATTTGTGTGATCGAATTAAAAGAGGAAGTGACTTTCATAGATATAATACTAGAAACGCGGTTGAAATAAGAACACCACATTTCTTTACTTGTGCTTCACAAAATTCATTATATTATAAAGGAATGAATGTTTTCAATTCGATGCCTAGACATATCAAACGTTTAGCAACACTTACAGAATTTAAAAGACACTGCATTTCACACGTTAAAACTGTCTTTTGAACGGTTATCCAGTGATTTTTTTTATGAATTGACAAACTATGTATCTTGAAGAAGTAATCTCTAACGGATTATTTTATATGGATAGCTGTCATAACGGCTTTTTAATTATTATTGTAACACTGCAAAAACTATTTCTGTTCACCACGAGGGTGAGGATGGATTTTTAATATTTGATTTAATAGTAGATTAATTTAAAAAAAAAAGTAGTCTACAAAGGTTTGAGCCTCGCGCGCGTATTACGGATATAGAGGACTGAATTTAACATTTGATAAAAAAAAGCAATTTTGAAGCTTATTTGGAATATACCTTCCCAAGTAACAATCTAAATGCTTGGAAGATTTATTCTTATTTTATCATTGTTTTATCATAGCATCCCTTGCAGCCTATGGTTGTATTACGGTTTTGTGTGCTTGTCATAAAATAAAGCCATCAAGTCGAATATAAAACTGTTTTATGACTACTAAATTATAACTCAGACTTCATAGTTTTAATGGTAGCTGTAAGGTGGCTCTGTATCACTACTTATAACTGCAGAATAAAACCAAAACAAAACATACATTATGTTTTATGGCATACTTTTTATGACCGATATAAAACTTGAAGCTGTCTTAAACCTTCATCAAAACCTCATTTCAACTATCATCTTTATCAGAGTCCTAAGATTCATAGTAAGAAATATACTACAGCAATATCAAAAAAAATCTCTGAAAATTGTTACCAATATAAAAAACAAATCTATTCAGATACATGAAATAAACCTCTTCAGTGCTTTTGAACACGATGAAGATGAGACAATCGCCACTATGAAACTCCTGGAGTATCTACAGTTATGGGCTCCCTCATTTAACATAAGGCACAGTGCGGTGAATAAGCTTTTAAAAATATTGAATGAGCGGCTTTCCGATACACTTCCGACAGATCCACGAACCCTTCTTAAAACAACGCAGACAGTTTCACTTAATCCGGTTGGAGATGGCCAGTATTTGCATCACGGCTTTACACCTTGTATTGTAAAAGCTTTTTGTGGATCCAATAAGCATTTCTTACATCTTGATTACTAGAGAAAATAGGAGGATCGCATGGAATGTTGACTTTTTGACAGGTTGCCATGGTTTTTGTTTTGTTTTGATTCGCTGTACCGAATAAAACCAGCAACCTAGTTATAGAGCTTAAATATAACTTAACGCTCTCAATTTGCACTACGAAATGCTAAGATACAACCATTAGGTTTATGTTATGCTATTTAATTCCAATCTAGGAGAATATGTTATATTGAGGTATTTTTAAGGAGTAGCAAGTTATAACGAAAAAAAATGTCGCCGTATGAATACATTTCACACAGTATGAATAATTACGCTTTAATTGATAGGCGATAAAACACTTTCATACATCTATGTATAATTAAATAACGTGTGACTGGTTATTGCTCAACAGTAGTAAAAGTTTTACTATAAATAGATAATCTTTTAATGACTCTTTAATGCATAGTGCTATTGCAGACAAATTAAAAATATCCCTATATTGTAGTATTCATATGGCGCACTAAATGTATGCTCCTATTTGGTATAATAATCACCATAAATATTGCACGGCATGCTCTGAAGCATATACAGATTGGTTCAAAGTTGTGATAAAGTCGTCTTATTTTCAATATACAATAATATCAGCTATTATTACAAACTGACAAGGAATATGATTTCACATCAAACATCGAAAGAATAAAACCACAATAAAATATTTCTCAATATTAACTATCATCCAAAAACCCCAACTTAAAACCTTCAAGGTTGTCAAAATGTTTTGTGTATCATGTTTTATCAACTTCTTCAGGAGCGATTTATGCGGTTGTAATATAAATTTATGGTAGTCATCAAAAGGTTGTTAAAACTTTCTGACCTGGAGGAGGTTTTATGTTTTCATTTTTAACAACCACGTGTAGAGTGTGATAAAACTGACATAAAACCTATGCTCTTAAGGTAGTTTGAATATCAAATTTTAACGAATACATTAAAACTGGGCCAATTGGCCATGACATAGCTGTATAGCGGTTCTCAGGAGGTTGTTAAAGCAATGTGGTCGTCAGTGAAGGTTTTATAATTTGGTTATATCAACTGCTTTAGAACTTCAATAAAACAAAAATTGTTGCTTGGGTGAGTTAGTAGTAAGTTTTCAGGCAAATGTTAGGTTGTTCGTGAGCATTCCTGACATTGCTGAAAATTATAATAGCATCAGATTGCGGGGTTACTAGTGTAATAGGATGCTTTGTTGATTGTTCATTAACTCTTGATTGCTTAAAATACTTATGAATATTTTAGGTGGACAAAAAGGCGAACTAAGAGGTGGACGCCTGAGCTTTTCCACATTTATATCGCTGTGAAGCAACTGTAAACTCTAGAGGGAATTTATATCTGTAACTGAAACCAGTTCGATTTTGTTTGCCAACCTGGTTAAAATGTCATATTTAATTATCTTAAAGATAAATCGTCCAGCTCAAACCTTTGTAGGGGTAAGAGGTGGGACCATCATCATCATCAAAAGAGTATAAAATATCGGCCTAAGAATGCTACCTTGAGCAACTACTGCTCTAACAGGCATTTGTTCAGATTTGGAATTTTGATAAATTACCTAAAGAGTTCTGTCAGTTAAATCATTTTGAATTAATTTCCTAATATAGAGTGGAAAAATAAACTTTATCATGCCAAACACTGTCGAATGCTTTTCCTATGTCTAGAAGAGTAACTCCAGTTGAGTAGCCTTCAGATTTGTTTCAATGAATAGACATGAAATACTAATGATTAATGTTACTAATAGATTGTGCTTTTTTTTTAGGAACAATAATGGAGCCCACCAAGGAAACAGTCGTCAGAGGCAGCTATGCATGGCGTGGCTATACTGGCAATCATGGCAACAAATACGAAGAAGATTTAGCATGTGCGCTGTTTGAGCGAGCATCTTTGCGGAAATCTGAATTCATACTGGCCTCAGAAATGAAGAACGCTGGAAAATTCGATGATGTGGTCATAATTTTTGAAGAACCGAAGGAAGTGTGGTTGTTCCAAGTCAAACACAAAAACAGCTCAGATGGTTCAAAACCAATATCGTTCAACAATTTGTTTCCAAAGACGCGTGTGGAAAATTATGATTTTGCTATTATCAAGTACATGCAGTCGTATTTAGACGTTATTCAAAAAGATGACTTCAAGGGGTTGAAGATGCGATTTTTTATCCTAACCAATAAATCATTAGACGATAGCAATAGTCAGCTTAGAGAGTTGGTGGACATCGAGGTCTGTGAACAAAATGAAGTGAACCCAATAATGAAGTTTGCTGAATCGGACGATTGCTACAAAAGATTCAGACCAAAAAAGGATAAAATGAAAGATTTACTGAAGTTGATGAACACCGAACTACATGCCATTAGGGATGCGATCATTGAACTCTTCAAAAGTGGAAAAGTTTCGGAAATACTAATCAACTACAAAACACCGTTGCAGAAGATCCTGGAAGTTTCATGCAACAATCTAAAGCTCTCCAAGCATGGTTCCACCCATGAATGGCTGTACAATGAGCTACTAAAAGATATTGATGGAAAATTAATAGAAAAAAATCCAGCGATTCAATCATTTATAAAAGGTAAATCTAGGAACACCCAACTACCAACGTATTTAACTGAAGATAGCGTGAGCAAGTTCTTTCAGCATCTAACTTTCTGTGTAAACCAACCAAGTGATCTAATTGAAACCATCGAGAATGATCTTCGCTCATGGATGAGAGATTGGATTCCACCGGACGATCTTGGCAAATCACAATTGGAACTGCCTTCCGTCAAATTTATTAAATGTTTTAAAAATTGGATCAATTCTAAAAGTTACAAGGATAAAGCATACAAGGATAAGAGTTACTTATCTTATAAAGAGGGACGTTCTTGTGTCGAAGAAATAACTAGACAACTGAGTGATCATTTTTCACAACGTAAATATATTGGAAGCTCGTACATAGAAAGAAAATTAATTGATAACAATCATATTACAAGCGACCATGAATTCATCAAACGATTAATAGACGACCAAGCAGAAAACAAATTTTCTCTTTTCATCGGAGAGCCTGGTATGGGAAAAACAACTATCCTCCAATACATTGCCTTCGAAGTTCAAAAGAAATCCGATATTGATGTGTTCTTGATATATTTGAAAGACTTAAAGGAAAGGCTCGAAGCAGGCTGTGAAAATTTAGAAGAGGTTTACAAAATTCTGCAATCGGCTCTTTCAGAAACCAGCTTGACAATTTTGAAATACAATCTAGAAAGCAACGCAAATCTTACTTTAATCCTGTTTGATGGGTTCGATGAGATCACTTTTCATAACGAGGCAATCGCCGTATTTAGGCAATTATTGTCAAAGAAGAATATTCGAGTGATTGTAAGTGGTAGATATCATGTCAAAGATATTCTTGAAACAGAATTTAGAGCAAGGGCGCTCATAATGATTCCATTTAAAAACAATGACCAAATTATGGCTTTGAAAAATTCATGGGAAGCTTCCGATGATTCAATGGAATTTAAAATTTTTTCAACTCAATTGCTCGAAAAATTCTACTCGGACATAAATAGCTATTACTCTGGATTCTTTGGTATTCCGCTCCAGATTCGATTTTTGGCGGAAGTATATTCTGATGATTTCCACCAATATTTAAATACTGCTCCAGATAAACGTGCACAAGATATTTTCCCGAAAGAAAAATTTAATGTTGTCTCATTGTTTAAAAAGTTTGTAGAATTTTCGTTTCAAATCAAATTGAAGAAATTAAGAGACAAAGATGCTTACCGAAATATCGACATGTCAAGTGATGACGAAGAGCGCCGTCAGTTGAAATACTTTACTATTGAGCATCAAATAGCTGCCTGGCATGACATTTCTAGTTATCTTCTTAAGAAATTAATCATATCGTTCAAAATCGTATCGGGTGAACACAAAAGTCAGTACAACCTACTCCAAAACCGAATCAAAGACGGAAAAGAGTACTCTCCTCTATTTAATATTTCCAAACGCAATCTTAGATTCGTACACCGATCCTATGCTGAATTTTTCGTTGCAACGTATCTATATGATCATATCCAAAAATGGAATCCAATTTTTTACAAAATACTTCGTCTTTATGAAACAGTTCGAAGATTTTTCTTTATGCTAACTGAAGAACAGTTTTCAGAACTATCAGAGCAACTGATTGCCTTGAGCGATATTTGTAAAAAAAAACCTTATGTTACATTCTGGGCATGTGAAGCAAATGTTGTAAAAGTAGTAAAGGGACTACTACAAAGGAAAGACTACAAAACTAAAACACTCAAAGAATATGGATCGTTATTACACACTGCGACGGGTGCTGGTAATTATGAGATGGTTTTATTGTTACTTGATTATGGCATAGATGCGAATTTGATGGCCATGGTTGCTATACCATGGTTTGAAAAAAATATAAGTTCGCTGCACATTGCTAGTGCCGCGGGGAATCTAGAAATTGCTAAACTTCTCCTCGATCGATCTGCCAACGTGGATCATCAGGATGAAAATAATAAAACACCTCTGCACTATGCAAGTAAAAATGGGCATATATGTATTGTTAAACTCCTCATCGATCGATCTGCCAAAGTGGATCATCAGGATGAATATAATAAAACACCTCTCCACTATGCAAGAGAAAATGGGCATCTAGATATTGTTGAACTTCTCCTCGATAACATGAAGCAACAATAGTCACGAACCTTCCAAGAAAATCGACCTTTCGATGCCTTCAGGGCCAGACTAGACTCTTAGCCCGTCAACGAGAAGCATTCGCGAGGTATCTTGAAAGCACATTCAGCTCAGCTCGCCAACGAGAATCATTCGCGAGGTATCTATGAAGATCTCCCTCCAGTCTCTCGGTAGACGAGTTTTGGAGCAGACATAATCCACTCCCAACCAGCCAACAACAAGCATGCCTTTCAAAAAGAGAAGTCTATTCACTACTCTTGCTCTGTTATAATTGGAATAACTGCACATCGAAATATCCAATTTGAAACTAAACCAATATTTTCATTGAACTAAAATTTAAAAACACTGTATGCAAAAGCTGCCGTCAGATAAGAGAATTCTGAAATACTTTACTATAACGGATGAAGAGAAAATGGGCATCTAGATATTTTAAAACTTCTGCTCGATCGATCTGCCATCGTTGATCATCATGATAATGAAAACGAACACCTCTCTACTATGCAGGTGAAAATGGGCATCTAGAAATGGTTAAACTTTATCAGGATGAAGAATAAAGAACACCTCTCCACTGTGAAAATGATGCATTGTTGATGATTGTTCTGCAGGTTATTACACTATTCAATGTCCAAACAGTCCAACATGCTTTTCTTCTGTACGAAATCCCTCAACTATTGATTTAGTCTTAACTGATTCATGTCAACTTTGTAGCCAATTGGTTACTCATGCTGACTTCGGTTCTGATCACCTTCCAGTAACTTTTGAAATATCCCAAGAAATAATTTGTAATCCCAACAGTTCTATTTTCAATTACCATAGAGCTGATTGGGAGCAATATCGAACATTTATGGAATATAACTTCGATCCAAACATTCCTTTGCAAACCAAAGATGAAATTAATTATGCTCTTGAATCTCTGACTACTGCTATAGTTGAAGCAAGAGCTGCCTCAGTACCAAAATGCGAGGTTAAATTCGATTCAATTATAATAGACGACGATCTTCAGCTCTTGATCCGTCTTAAAAATGTCCGTAGGAGACAATATGAAAGAACACGCGATCCTGCCATGAAAGTTATCTGGTGGGAATTGCAAAACCAAATTAAAAAGCGATTATCTGCCCTGAGGAACAAAACTTTTGAAAATAATGTTTCTAAATTAGACCCGAGTTCCAAACCCTTTTGGAAACTTACAAAAATTTAGAAAAAAAAACCTCAAAAGCCTATTCCACCGCTTTAGGGGAAGTTCACCACTCCGAAAAAAATAATTATGATTTGATTTTTCTAAAAATATTGAAAAAAGGTATCAAAATAAAAAAAATCACATTTTTTCTAATTTCTCAAAGAAAATTCACGAGCAACAAAATTTTTATAAATCATTATGGCATAAAGTTGAACTCAAAAAACCACAAAACATCGACTTTTCGGTTTTTCTGAGAGTCCCATTTTTTCATGATGAGATAGAAAAAATATTTTTACATGTAATTTTTGATAAAAATCTATGGTAGAAACTGATTTTCTTGAAATTTTGATATTTTTTCCCAATATTTTTAGAAAAATAAAAACGTACCGAAAATATTTTTTTTATTTTCGGGCCGGTAAGCTAAAGAAGATGGTAAAATTTTGATCACATATTTGGAAAAAGCTCAGAAACTTAGTAAGCAACTCGAGAGTTTCCATAATTTCAGTTTAGGTCTTACTAGTCCTATTGAGAATCAGGTTGCTCGGGATTATCTGAATATTTTCTCTCGGGAAAATATTTTTGATGATTCCTGGGGGAAAAAAGTTTTATAATATGAAAGTTCCAGGGGGTACCTCGTCTTTCTTGGTAAAATTATTTAACAGATGTTTCCATTTGGCATACTATCCTGATAAATGGAAAAATGCAAAAGTTGTTCCTATTTTTAAGCTGGATAAAAATCCAGCTGAAGCTTCTAGCTACCGTCCAATAATTTTGCTTTCTTCATCAAGTAAACTTTTAGAAAAGATAATTTTAAGTAGAATGAAGCTTCACATCAATACGAACTCAATTTTTGCAGATGAGCAGTTTGGATTTCTCCATGGGCATTCAACTACTCATCAACTCTTAAGAGTTACCAATTTAATTCGTTCAAACATATCTGAAGGCCACTCAACTGGAGTTGCTCTTCTAGACATAGAAAAAGCATTCAACAGTGTTTGGCATGAAGGTTTGATTGCTAAATTGAAAAAGTTTAATTTTCCATTTTATATTATGAAATTAGTTCAAAATTATTTAACTGACGGAACTCTGTAGGTAAATTATCAAAATTCCAAATCTGATCGACTACCTGTAAGAGCAGGAGTTCCTCAGGGTAGCATTATTGGGCCTATATTGTATAACATTTTCACTTCGGACCTCCCTGATTAGCCTCAGGGTTGCCACAAATCTTTGTTCGCTGATGACACAGGCATTTCCGCTAAAGGAAGAAGTTTTCGTATTATTTGCAGCAGACTGCAGAAAAGTTTAGATATTTTCTCTTCTTATTTAAAAAAATGGAAGATTTCTCCCAACGCTTCCAAAACTCAACTTATAATATTTCCACATAAGCCTAGAGCTTCCTTGTTGAAACCTAGTAGTAGTCACATAGTCACTATGAACGGAGTTCCAATTTCCTGGTCAATCCAATTGAAATATCTTGGATTAGTACTTGACCAAAAATTAACTTTTAAAGATCACATTGAGGGCATTCAAGCCAAATCTAACAAACGTGTAAAATGTTTGTATCCTCTTATAAACAGGAAATCCAAACATTGCCTGACGAATAAACTTCTAATATTTAAACACGTTTTTAGACCCGCCATGCTTTACGCTGTGTCAATATGGTCTAGTTGTTGCACTACCAGGAAAAAAGCACTTCGAAGGATTCAGAATAAAGCTCTGAAGATGATTTTGAAGTTGCCTCCCTGGTACAGTTCTCTCCAGGTACATAGAATTTCGAATGTTGAGATTTTAGAGCAAATGTCGAACAAAATAATTAATAATTTCAGGCAAAAATTGTTGCAATCCTCAATTGCAATGATTAATTCTCTTTATACTTAGATAAGATTTAGTTTTAGTATTTGGTTTTAATGTGTTAATTGTTAAACTGACATGCAGGCTTAAAAAAACTGTTTAAAATACTGAATTGCCAAAGCAGGAGCAATGTAAAAACACTAAGATATATATCATAACAATTAAGCAGAACACTATATTTCATGATGATATTAATCGGTACTCTCAGCCCTTCAACGAGAAGCATTTGCGAGGTATCTTGAAAACTCTTAGCAGAGCATAATCAACACCCACATTCAGCTCAGCTCGCCAACGAGAACAATACGCAAGGTATCTATGAAGATCTCCCTCCAGTCTCTCGGTAGACGAGTTTTGGAGCAGACAGAATCCACTCCCAACCAGCCAACAACAAGCATGCCTTTCAAAAAGAGAAGTCCATTCACTACCGTTGCTCTGTTATAATTGGAATAACTGCACATCGAAATATCCAATTTGAAACTAATCCAATGTTGTCATTGAATTAAAATTTAAAATCATTGTATGCAAAAGCTGCTGCCAGATAAGCAAATTCTGAAATACTTTGCTTTAACGGATGAACAGGAAAATGGTTGGGTTGTGGAAGAGAACGAGTTTCGAAAGTCAGTTCATTATTGATTGACACCCCTGATTCGTTAATCAGTATTATATAAACGCACCAAATTGATTAGTTCCGTGCAGTGTTGGCACATTCATCAACCAAATGATATTTTTCCGCTCTCATACGCTCTCAACATCACGCGTGATATTGAAACAAAATATCATGCTTGGTATTGATTTTACAAGCTCCTTTAATATTGCGAAACTATTCACAACGTTCAAAAAATCAAGCTGAGAGTTGACTCGACACAAAAATGATGCCGTTGCCCATTGTTTTCTTAGAAAGAGAAAGTATAGTTTGCTATCTCTTTTAACTCTTCACCGACGGCAGACACGAAGTGGCTGCTGCCAGTCGTTATGGATGTTTCGGTTGCGTTGGGTTCGGGTGTAAAGCAATAATCATGAAATTCAATCTCTCCACAGTTGAGATTTGCAGCTGGTGAGTTTTGTTAGATTGATATTCCGAGCTTGCAAAATTAACCGCAGATGTTTGCTTGTTAATTTTTGTTTACGAAAATCAAGCGTAATCTTGAGCATTGTGATTTTTTTACGTTTTCATAACACTGGTTCCGTGCATCACTAGCACCTTGAGGTTTTGCAATACCTTTGAAATTCATGCTATCGCTACTCACCCATATTGTTCAAAGCGTTATTTATGTGACCCGGTGATGATTCATCAGATAAAACTATATTATACCCACGTACAAAAGCGCTTCGTTTATTTCACCGAGTGCCTCTGGATCAATCTAAATTTTTAAACCTATATTAAAATATCATTCATCATTACAAACAGTTTCAGGCTGAATAGCAAAAGAAAATAAAGATTTCTCGCCACCTAAAATCACGTCCGATTGAGCTCAAATATCGCACAGGTCTAAACATTTTGCACAAGGGTCATATTTTTCCCATACATTCATTGGCACCCTAATGAAGATATACATTTTTACGTTCATGTAGTCATTAGGGCAAATTTTGAAAAGTGAAAGATTGAAATGAGTTTTTCTTGGAAATGTAACTTTGTGAAATTTTCAGGATCTTTATCTGAGAATGGATATTGAATACATAAAATGATCTTGAATTTTAATTTTGTAAAGATTTTACAGTTTATCAAATATATCTTAATCCTGATATATTCTGATTTTAAGATCACAAGCTAGGATACTTTCCTAAATTTGGGTACTCAGATAAATGTTATGATCAAGGGCGTAGACAATATTTGAAGAACTTGGACTTGGCATAAGCAAGGCATAAATATAAACGACACCTAAAGAAAGCACATTTTGCACTTAAAATGTTCATAACTACCAGAAAACCTTAGTCAGGAGCAATTAACTTTGAAAATGATAAATAGACAAGTGGAAAGTAGCAATAGAAAATAAATGTTTCATCGGTAAAACTGCGAAAATAAGCAACAGTTAATTGAAAAGTTGCAACGGATAATTAAAAAAAAAAATAGAAAATATATTTTGGACATTATCTTATCACCATTTGTGGCACCATTTGGCCACATCAAACTTCACTATTTTTTCACTGAGTTCTCCTTTTTAGGGGTTTGTCATCATCCACTGATATCATAAACTCCGTTTTGACTTTTGTCAAGACTCTCTCTAGACTGTCTCTAGACTGTCTCTAGACTGTGTCTAGACTGTGTGAATTTCTTTATTCCAAACGGTTTTTATGTTTACAATGTGTTGTTCAAATAATCTAGTACTTCACCATTATAATGAATGGAGAGGGATATGTATCGGAGAGAGTAATCGGTCTCGATCCTAATTGGTTGTTATTTTGCATCTTTCTTTCGTGCGCTCGGAGGGCTTAAGCTCATGCGCGCGAAAGGGAGAATTGTATTGTCGCGTGGGTGAGTTTTCTATTCCGTGGGAATGTTTGTCGTCGGTCGCGTGCTTCGAGTGGATGTCAGCGTTTACGTTTTCGTTCTTTGTCAACCGTTCTGGTTTCTTCATGTGTGGTGAGAATATGATAGGTATGCAGTTAGGATGGTCATAGTCACTTGTTCGTTCTGAGGCAATAAATTAACCTTTCGAAATCTCAAGTGTGAAATGATGATGGTTGTCTTTGGTGTTAGGAAATTGGTTCTGGAAAATGTTGTTTTACAGTGGGAATGGATTGTTGGGTACGTCTCGGATTGCAAACATGCATTTTGTGAATTTGGGTCGATCGGGTCTTAACGTTAATGTCTTTTGAAATTTATTGTCGTGGGATAGTTTTGTCTGGTCATGACTTGGTCGGTTTTGTGGGAACGTAATTTGCATGTCTAATTGAAATTGAAAAAGTTAAGGTTTGTACCTTACAATATGTTTGAGCAATAAAAAACCTTGAATGATTCATGAAAAGTTGATGAGTTTTCAATTAAAACTCTAGAAGAAGCAATGAAAAACTAAAAATAAGCACACAAAAATAAATAAAAAGTGAGCAATAAAATCAACGAAGTCAATTTATTATTGCTCGCTTTTTAATGGTATAGTGCTGCGATGCCTCCCGACAGTTAATGTCCTGATAATTGGTGATGTCTGATATTTACTAGATTAATGGAGTGCACAGCAAATGATCAGTAGGTATTCGACTAATTTTTAAGCTAACATAAGATCGGCCGGATTTTTGTGGCAGGCAGCATATGAAGGTAGAATTATGATCGCGAGCATCAAAGATCAAACAATCAGAACATGTTGTCACCAATGTACAGGAGGGAAGATGATTAAATAAACATTACAATCAGAAAAGATTTCGTTTTTTCCGAAAGAAAATCCATAAATTCTAGCTCAAGAGAATGGGTTATTCATGGGCAAAGGACGGATGCAGGGGTCGAGTGAATGCACTCATTTTCACATTGTTATAAGTATACGAACTTAATAGTTCATCAAATTCCGAGTAACTTATGCGTTTAACACTTCGAACACGATGCCTTCGAAAGCCGCAAGTGTGCATTGACATAGCTTAGCCATTTCTTGATGAATCCCAAAAACTGTGGTGCCACTAGAATTCCTACGATCGGAAGGTTATTTTGATTGCAAAATATTGAAAATAGGGTCGTCTACTTTTTTCAAAGCGAAAAGAGTCGTTACACGTTTTTTTTTCTAAAAAGGTGTGTTTATAGGTTTTGCAAATGGCTTAAGATCTATTAGTTTGATTAATGAGCATAAATGTTCATAATTAGCCAGAGCACAGTCATGGTTCCTATATATGGATCATGAAAACAATGGAACGGTCTTCTGGAAGAGTGGTCAATCCACGAAACTGATTTTGGATATTATCCCTATCCCTATCCGGATGATATTTTAAACGGATAACATTCGAGTTAAAATTATGCGGGTAGAAAAAAAGTGGATAGGGATAATATTTAAAATGTTCTTGCACATGGCAAATCTGAAGAATGTTTCTTCTAAGATAGGCTTCAATATAACATAACGTGGAGGAGCGCCAACAAAGAAAGTCAAAAGGCCCACAAGTAACGACATTCAAAATAAGGTTTATTAAAGGAGTTTGGACTCACATTAAACCTGATCATAAAATGATCATGGTAGGGCTTATACTAGACAAAAAAATACTCTTAAAGATCACAAGACTACAAAAATCAACAGAGAAATATTAAAGATACTGGAAATTAAGAAAAAAATATCCAGATGAGCTGCGAAAGATAGCATCAAAAACTATACTAATATGAAAACAGTAGAAGAGTGTTAAGAAGACTTAGCTAATAGGATGAAGAAGGCAGCTTCAAGAGCTTTGTTGTTGTTGAAAACTTTAATATGTTGAATTATAAGTACAAGCTACTAACGGCGCCGGTGGTGTAGTGGTAAGCGTGATTACCTCTCACCCCAACAGGCCTGGGTTCAATCTCAGTCGGCGCCGCCGGGATGTTCTGAGGCATAACATCTCTGATCACGCCTTTCTTCGGATGGGAAGTAAAGCCGTTGGTCCCCGGTTCATGAGTTGATGGGTCGATAGGTAGGGTCCAGGTGTGGGAGCTGCCTTCCTGGCACGTCGGTAGCATTGGTGCTCAGCACGGAAAACAAGATCGACGGAAAAAACAAAACCAAAGGAAAAAAAAAAGTACAAGCTAGGTTATCGTAGGCAGGAATACAATTAAGCTGTTAAGAAACACAAGGAGAAAGAAATAATGGATGTTTTTTAGAAATTTGAACGATTTTGATGTAAGTCAGAGACTAAGACAAGCATATAACTATTTGAAAGGATATGCGAAGCAGAAAAAGAGAAAGGTTGCACAGATCACTTCAAAAACATGGGGAAATATACCAAAGGAAAGCGAAGGTCCAGAGATAGAACTGTGCACAGAACATGATCAAGTACCACTCCCAAATCCACTGACCAGCACTGACCATTCAGTTTTCATGCAACGGAAAATCAGCAGGATCAGATCTAGTTTTTATGGAGTTTATGAAAGGCACGGACGAAGATCTACATATAGAATAAGATGCCAGAAGAATGGTACAGGACAACACAAATCCCTATACCAAAGAAGGCAGGAGCGACGGAGGCAGATCATTCACAACGAAAAGATCAACTGATGATCACAAGAAGAGCATTGGAATAGCGGTAACGACCTGATAGTCTTAGCACTAGATATAAGAAAAACTTTCGATACAGTTAAGGATATTCTTCAAGGCTTAGATGCTCCCTCAAGAATAGTGGACAGAATTCTGATGTGCGTTAAAGACGAAATTACTACGGTATTTTGGGAATTTCAATACTCTGAGGAAGTTAAACGTGATAAAGGCATTAAGCAAAGCTGCCCTCTTCATTATTCGACGCAGCAAGGTTTGACCAATGTTTCGAAAGAAATTCCTGAATTAAAATTTTTAGACTTTGGCTGTTTAGTACTTCCTTTGATTTTGGCGTTTGCTGATTACTTATTGATTATTGCTAGGAACTTAAGAAAGATGGAGGCAGTATTGAAAATCATCACAAAAGAGTTGCAGAAAGTTGGCTTGAGTATAAATTAGGATAAACGCCAGATTATGTTTAGATATCCCAACAATAAAGCAAAACTCCCCCAGAACAGGTTACATTAAATGGAAAAACATTTAGGCTTGGGGACCGCATTAAATACCTTGGAGTATGTCTAACAGCAGAACTGAATAGAAAATTAACCAATAGAGACAGGTGAAAACTAGCAGAATGGTGCATAGTAGATTTTTGTAAACACTTTCATCCGAGTTGGGAGTTGAGGAAGACTATATATAAAACAGTATTAGCTCCAGCACTTATCTATGGCACTAAAGTAGCCGTTCTTACAAAAAAACAGTAGGATTTCTCTAGCTAATTATGACAAACTTTTTTTACGTTATATAGACAGTGAATGTAAGAGAAAGGAAAAATCAAAATTTAACGCTAACAAATTGCTCGACGGTACTTTTGGGAGAGAACATAATCATTCCATCAGACTAGCATTCAATATGAATTTTTGGCTGAAGATAGGGAAAACATTAAAGTTAAAACGGAAGAGATTTATAAATAAGATAATAGTGAAATTTCAGAATTGCTGATAGATGAAATTGAAATCAAAATACACCAATCGATAGGAAATAGCTCACGAATCTGCTGAAATAAATACTATTCCAATTTTCCATTCAAATTTTTTGAAAAATGTACAGTAAGGTTTCCTCAATCCAGTCATCATAATCGAGAACTACACTTATATTACGTAGGACTACGTCTGTAATTTCTAAATGAGGAAACACTAGGTGAAAACCGAAAATGGAACATGCAACGAAATAATGAAAGATGTTGAACGTTAATAACTCAGCTGCCCCTGGACCAATTTCAATAATTATATAACCAATCGATCAGAAATATTTCTACGCATCTGACTGCTTTCGACTGTTGATTTTCAACAATAAACTATTGAAAAAGTGGTAAATGTCAAGCATTGTCCAAAAGCATCGAAATAACCGACAAATCCATCAATTACGTACATGCATCAGAGACTCGTTTATAGACGAAACATGTCGATGTAGCATTGCTGCTTCCCCAACACAGTCAACAGAGAGTCGTTAGTAGACGAAACAAGTCGAAGTGGCATTCACCTCCGATCTTCGGGCGTGTGCGAATAAGGCGGATGCAATTGCGTAACATATTGCACACTCATCGCCCTATTCAGAACCACACGCCCCCAACGACCACACAAAGTTGTAATCTTGTAACCAAACTTGGAAGCAGGGATGCAAGTGAATTTGATCGATTCTTTTCATCGACTTTCTGTTTCGTTAATAACTCGACGGCAAACATATTCATTGATACGTTTGTTGTTCTGGATGATAGAAGAGCATAGCAGAAATAGTGCGAAATAGGTTAGTGAAACCATGGTAATCAAAAGTTTCAGTTTCAGTGAGATTGACGGACCCTTCTTAACAAACCATCCTGTGGGAAGCTTAATAAGTATTGCGAATCGCATTATTCGAACGGAATTAGAACTAATGATTTCCCTTCCAGCCATTCCGCCGAGATTCTCAACACTTCCGACGTGAACAGCTATCAACACATACACCAATCACGGCGGCGAGATCTTCTTCCGACCATCTACCACAGTCCAATCGATCCGATATCCTAACTATCAGAGCTCGAACGCTATCAATGATGTTAGATTACTATCCACATCCCCAACTACCTGCCATTTACGCAGCCCTCTACCCGTACAGAAACCGGACGAATTGGAGCTCAAAAAAGGATGTAAGCCTGCTTGGCACCACTAAAAGCACAATTTTCAACAGCTTTTCTCAAAGTTTCCTACAATCTACTACGTCACAGAACGCTACCAAGGGGGCCTGCCGGCAGCAAAAGTCCGGAGCATTCTCGGTTAACGTGCAAAAAGATAACGAAAGCGGTGGAGCAAACAGCAACAGCAGCATCCGAATCAATCCGGGATGTATGTCGAATCCGTGTGGAAGGAAATCGCTTCAGATAGAAACAGTGCTGCCACGGCCGGAGGCAATCCATCTCAAGCTGCTGTGTAGCCTGTCAAGTAAAAGAAATATTCGTCAGCAGCTAGTTTGATGAAGCGAGTGGCTAACATCAAACGATCGAAATCTTCGACATCGAATGACGGAGGAACGACTAATCCTGCGTAATCGATGGATAATCCGGTGTTCGAGAACAGTCCGGGTTCTGCAGCCGTGAAATCCAATTTACAGCAGATTATGAATACAGTGTACGTTAGGTACCTATGGTTCTTGAAAACTTACGAGTTAAATGGTGCGATCCTACTCTGCGTACCTGCTAATTGTGTTTATTAATCAAGAAATAAACATTACTTTTTATTGGTTTTATTCGATTGCCATTTTTGTTTCTTTAAAATATATGAAATCAACCATTTAAAATCCTAGTTAGAGAAGCAGTTAGTCGATATCCCTTTTATTTCATTGCACCCGCAGCTCAGCGACAATTCAATTAAATTCGTGATGTTGCCATCTCCGACCACTGTGTGTCTCCCCTTAGCCCAACATCCTAGTTACACCTAAGACATTAATGATTATACTACGAGGAATTTGAGCCTACTGATAACATGTTCTAAGAAATGAATTTATATTTTTCTACCAAACACTGATTAAAAGGTTTCGATTCATTCCAAATCCCATTCAAGATAGTGTTTATCTTGCTAGATAACAAGAAGGCACAAAAAGTCAGTTCTGAATCATCGAATCAGTAGGCTACATATTCAGCTGAGCGAACATTTTTTTTTTGTTAGCTTGTTTTTGCACAAAGCATTCTTTCAGTAATTTGGCTTTTTACTGCATTTCAAATGTAATCCCAAGTAAATGAGCTACTTTAATTGTGACCTAGACTATTCAATGTCAAATAAAATAATTAATGCCAATTGAAAAGCACAGTTTCCTTCGCATCATATTATACATTTTTCCTTATAGGCGAATTAAAAAAAGAAGAGTGTAATGTCTGTTTGTCTGTGGTTCGATGAAGATTTGCAGGTTTTCAAAAGATATTGTTTTCGTTCTTAGTGACCTTCATGGCCTATAAAATGCTCAATTTATTTTTCAAGGTGATAATTTTATACGTTTCTTGCTCATTTCTTATTTTTTGGTGAGCGTTTTTGAAATTTTCCCTGGGAAATTCATTGTGCTTTTTGGGTCTTTTTTTACCTTTATATTGCTCAAAAATTTTTCGATCGTCAATTAGTTCGGACGCGTTTTTTAGTCGCTACTGGCCACGTGCTTTTTTGTTTTTACTATTTTTGCTTACGTCTCGTTTGAATACTAATTGTGAAATTTGCCAATCAGATTCTGCCACCGATTCGGTAATGTGGGCTTGTGCTGGATGTTCAAGAAAATTTCATGCTGGCTGCGTGGAAGTACCTGTTCTACGAGGATCGCTACGGAGGAATGAAAAACGCCAGGTTGATGTCATGTCTTACATGCTGCCGTGCTGTAGCTCGTGCCAAAATTTAATCACGGCTAACTTTGAGTTTAATTCGCTTGTAGAGCAACAGGCGAAATTGACGGATCAAATTAATGAAAACACAGAGGTGACTCATCGCTCTACAGTTCACCTTAATAACACAAGCATAGTACACGAAGTTATCGACCGCCTTGAAGTGTTACTCGTCGATATAAAAAAAACAGCTGACGGCAACTGGAAGCAGTGGTTCTACTGGCAATGTCAGTGCCATTAAAAACCATATTACATCGCTATTTAATATAGCGATGCAAGCTTCCCAACAAACCATATCGTCATCAATGAACTCAATGATGACAGGTATAGGCGATGACCTGAAATGTTTGAATGACGATATGAAACAAATAAAAGATTTAACTTTAGACATCGCTTCACCCATGCATAACAACCCGATGTTGTGTTTGGAGATATTAGACGAGCTTAAAATCTTTATCAGCGAATATAAATGAAATTGATTCCAAAATCAAAAATTGCACTCCAAAATCAGTTGACTCGTTGGAATACGAGTTGAACGACATTAACAGTATACAGGCGATAGATCACTCAGGCTGGCGCCTTCTTGGTTCCAGAAAGGTATGGAAAGCTGACTGGACAGAATACGATAATCGTAAACTGTATAGATTAAATCAGCAAAAACAAGCTGAAAAAGCACGAAAGCGAAAAAAGCAGGCACGCAATAATATCAACAACCATGCTCACTCCACTGCCACTCACCAGAACAGAAGGAATGATTACGGCAACAATAACAATCACAGCAATAATAACTGCAACAATGACGGAGGTCGCAACCGCCTTCTCCCACCGGACAGGATTCTTCTAGCGGCAGCAAAAGAGAGATTCTCTAAGCCACCACAGTCAATTACAGTTTCAGGGAGGAGACGAATTTCAACCTAATCACGGCAATCAACCCAACTGGACGAAACCTGGATGTGGTTCTACTTCATCATGTGAGGCATGCTATGCGCAACACTCGTGTTTTCGGCGCCATTGACGCACTTCGTAGAGGAAGCAATCAACCATAGCACTACCGAACCCGAGAAACAATACATTTTATCCAATTTGACGAATTCCGAACAGCTTGAAGGAATGATAAATAGTTTTTATACTAATAGCTATAACGATACGTTAGTTCAAAGCCAACCAAATTTTACAACTGAGGCAGTTCTTACAGCCTCCTCTCAACTAGAGTCAAGTGAAATTGTAGTATATTGCCAAAACTTCAATCGCATGAGAAGTGCATTGAAAATGAACGAAATCCATAAAAAAATTGTAGGTTGCTCCTTTGCAATAATTTTGGGTACTGAAACTAATTGGGACGAATGTGTTAGAAGTGAGGAAGTATTCGGAAACAATTACAATGTTTTTAGGGATGACCGTGATTTGCATTCGTCGGAAAAGAAGTCAGGAGGTGGAGTTCTTATAGCTATTTCTCCAAAATTTAATGCTGAAATCATCGCAGCTACAAAGTTTAGAGAATTTGAACATTTATGGGTGAAAGTGCATATGGCTGGTGAAAAACACATATTTGGCTCGGTGTATTTTCCCCCCAACAATGCCCGTTAAGAAACATATGAAAAGTTTTTCAATATTGCTGAAGAAATTACAGCTAGTCTTGGCCTGAAGTAAAAATTCATATTTACGGAGACTTCAACCAACGTACTATTGACTTCATTCCAGACTCTGAAAATGATACTATTTTACTTCCAATCGTTGGGGAACATGAAACACTTCAGTTTATTTTTGACAAAACTGCTTGTTTAGGTCTTATTATCTGGTTATATAAAAAATCATCAAAATTGCTATTTAGATCTGTTATTGACGAATATTCAGGAAGATTTCTGTGTAACCGATTCACTTCATCCATTATGGAAAAACGAAGCGTTTCACACAGCAATCGAATTTTCTTTATTTGTGCATGAATATAAAAGACCCTACGATTGTGAGTATGAAGAGGTTTTTAATTATCATTCTGCAAATTACGAAAATATTAAATTTAGATTAAGTAACATAAATTGCCAAACGATTTTTAGGAATGAAGAAAATGTTGAAACTGCTGTTGACGTCTTCTACAAAATAATATTTGAAATAATATTTGAAGAAATTCCATTAAAAAGAAGAAAACGTCAAAGTTACTCAAAACATCCTGTTTGGTATAACAGTCGAATTATAAACTTAAAAAATCGAAAGCAAAAGGCACATAAGGCTTATAAAAAGTTGGAAGGGTTGTATACTAGATACGACCGCAGGGTTGGCGTTGGATAACGTCTGTTATGTGTTGTACTTAATTGTGTATATTATATTTTAGGAATATTCCTTAATAACTCTTTTGCAAAAGTCTGGTGGCCCTGAAAAGGGCCGTTTTGTTGGGCTGATGTTGTTGGGTTTGTTCTACTCTTTCGCCCTGGAGGAGCTTTGGAATGATGTTGGTAGTTCGAAGACAGACAGCATCTCCCCTTCCAGCGTTCCCACACCCCGACTGTAGTCCCCAAATTTAAGTGTAACTGTAATATTCTGGAAAGAAATTGTCTTCAAAACTAACTCTTTGTCGAATTATTGGTGGCCCTGAAAACGGCCGTTTTGGTTGTGGTTTTGGAATGATGGTTATGCCGAGCATGGGTACCGGATGGCGATGGCGATTTTGATGAGCGGTTTGCATGCCGGGCGCTTTGCTTCAACCACGAGTGCGGTGAACTCCGGGTAAATATTATTACCAATCAGTAGAACAGCGCTAGGTGGTATGATGAACCGGGAAATCCACTCGAGATGTCGACAGGGTAGATGGTTGTTTTGGAGGTTGTGATGAGGACGATTTTGGAACGGAACGGGTTGTGCTCGATGATGCATCGTTTTTCTTCACACAGTCTGTGAAGACGAGTTCGATGCTGAAATAAGTTTTGTAGAAATGCAATGGAATCTATGGCCCTGCGAAGATTCAACTTTCGATATTCAAGTGTCGGAAAGGCATTAGAAAATTAATCGTTAAACTCTTTCTTGATAATGTTGTGGCCCTGAAAAGGACATCGACTTATTACCACTACCTACTTCTCTCCCTTCCACTCCAGGAAATCGCCGATTCGGTGCCTCTTGTTGCGTTTTTTGCTGAGACTGAGCAATATTCGATACCGCGAAACATCTCCGCAGTGACGTTTTCTTTCAGCGCAGGAGATGAGCGGTAATCGAAAGTTAAGAATGAAGCTCAACATTTACAATAACATTCTACCAAATTTTCATGTGCGTAGTCCACTGCAACAGCCGAGCTTACGAACGAATAGGGTGACCATAGCGCATTTTAAGAAAACGTCTCAAGTTTTTATGGCTGTTTTAAATCAATAATTACGAAGAAACCATAAAGCCTACAAGGTTACTTCCAAAGACACAAATCTAGGAAACTGCATGGAGAATGTTTTGTAGAACAACTAAATTAAAAACTATAAAACATCAATAAAACTTGCAATGTTACTTGGGATAGCAAACGTTCCGAGTCTTCCTTTTCTATGCCACAGAAGCGACATACATCATCTTGAAGTTTTCCAATCAGCTTCAAGTGATAACGGC